CCCCCCCCCCCCCCCCCCCCCCCCCCCCCTCCCCCCCATCCCCTCCGAAGCCAATACCTCTCATATACCCACAGCTATGTTTGACGGGTCAAAAAAAAGTTCTGCGAAATTTAACTTGCCACGCGTAATTTCTTTAATTCAGCATTCAGTCTGAGATTCTCGCTGTCCTTCACTTCCAGACTGTGCATAAATTCCGCATTCTGCTTTTCATAGTCTGCTATTTTATGTTGCAGCACGTCTATCTCCTGAAAGATACATAACTCAAAACCTTTCCGTATTTCATTTTGTGTGAGAAGCGGAGACACTCGAAAGTAACTCGAGCCATAGTACGTGCTAACAGCAACCAGATGCTTGAAAACATGTTAGTGATTTCTTCTTTCAAGGACTGTTCAAGGCAAACTGGTGGCAGTTTTGACTCACCGATATATTCTAACATCTTTAGCACGTAGGGGCGAGATTTTCGAAAATACCGTTCAGAACTTCTAGTTCTTCATATATATTACTACATCGAACAGACGGTGGGTAATAACTGAAGTATACAGCCCAGATGTGCAGTAATATCACTAACGTGGGATCATCTACAGTGACTGCCCAGACAGCCCCGTATTCTTAGTACATTTATTACGAGTCGTACAACTGGAAAAAATAGTTTGGAAAACGAGGGCAGTGTTAGACCAACCTCACTGAGTTCCAAAATTTTTTGATGCATCTGCCTAGTGGAATCATCGACTGGGCGAGTGACAGCTGCACCAAAAAGCTTTCGCGCTGCTTTCGTTGCTTCGACCAGTTCCACTCGTAGCTTCTCCATTTCTTCTTCTCGTTCCACATTACTTTCCAGCATACTTTGTGCTTGCAGCTCTTGCAATTCAATCTCAAATGATCTGGTCATGAAATCCATTACTAGCACTTTAAAGCAAAATTTTTTAAGTTTTGGCAAAAATGTTTTTTTCAGAAGTAATGTCCTTGACGAGGAGAAACAGTGCAGTATTTAATAAACGTTTAATGGCAAAAATTATTCCAATTTCGTACCGCTGCTGATTTATTTGGATCGTTTTCGCTGTTGCGCATAGATTTACCGCCACTTCTACCAAGATTGTAATGTTAACTACAAATGCCTGGTTTCCACATGAAAAGGTACGCTATACTTGCAACTTTAACGACAAGATGTTGGAAAATGCACTGATCACCGACTTCGTTTTCATACAGACTATCGTGATGAAGCTCATTTAACTTGTATGCGATAAAACACAACAAGACCATCGTCCCTATTTT